TTGCTATTGCTATTGCTATTGCTAATTTTGGACTCAATTGGGATCGTAGGTTGAGGACCACCTGTAATCTCCTTATTGGTATTAATCAAAAGAAGGATCTGTTAACCAATGGAAAAGTACTGAAACTCACCTTTTGACTGGTAATAAACAACTCCAGCAAAATGGTTGATAGCAAAAATTGTATCATGGACATTCTTTGGAGGAATGTAGATTTTGCTTCTGCTATGATGTGAATTGATTTTGTTTAGCATAGTGGTGTCTGTCCCCTGGAAACATTCAAAAACTTGAGTTGAAGCAAAATGCAGTCACTCTTTTTATGTTACTATGCTAAAATGAGCAACAACAATAATAACAGATTTGTGATAAAAGTTACAGGGCCAAATCTGATCCATAAAGAGGTATGGTGGGTTCAAACAAAGTATCTTCACTTTTATTAATTACTAGACAAGCCATGGTCCACTGGATCTTCTTTTCAAAGATATCTCCTTACCTAAGCAGTAAAACAGAATGACCATGGACAGGCAAAAAAAAGTGGGGCAGGAGTGACTTCCAACTTCCTGCCAGTTTACTACAGGTAGTTCTTAGTTTACAACAATTTATTTAGTGACCATTTGTGATTATAATGGCACTGAAAAAAGTGACTTAAGACTGTTTTTCACACTTACAACTGTTGCAGCATCCCATGGTCATATGATCAAAATTCTAACGCTTTGCAACTGGCATATATTTATGATGGTTGCAATGTCTTAGGGTCTTGTGATCATCTTTTGCAACCTTCTGACAGGCAAAGTCAATGGGCAAGCCAGATCCACTTAACAACTGTAACTAAATTAACAACTGCAATGGTTTAACAACTATGGCAAGAAAAGTCGTAAAATAGGAGCAAAACTCACTTAATAACTGTCTTGCTTAGCAATGGGCAAAACTCATTTAATAACTGTTGCTTAGCAATGGAAATTTTGGGTTCAATTGTGATGTTGAGGGCTCTCTGTATAATGCAAATATGTCGCTCTTTTATGACACAGAGGTAGAAAGAAAGAACAGAATCTAGAAATAAAGCTAAAACTAGTCAAATAAAAATAAAAATATTCCTTTGTTGACAACAAGCCACCAGCTAGAACACAAACGAAAGATGGGGTGACAATTTTTCTTCTCTTTTCAGTTTTGAAATGCAATTGATTTCTATTCTACCAATGCTCTACAACGAAAAACATGTAACTGTACACAAGATACTCAGTATTTTCAATAAAATTTGCTACAATACCCAACTATCAGTAATTTCATTCCCACAGAAGCCTTAAGGAAAATGATCCTTACTTTGGGAAATCTGCTTTCCTCGTCAATCAGTGAAACAATGTTCATGGGTTTGAGTACAATGACTTCCAAGGCAGCACAGTTATCCTTGAAGTCAATATGGTTCCAGGAGATTTGCTCCGCTAAGTATTCCTCCTGCTCCAGTTTGAAGATGTGGAGTACAAAGAATTGCTGGAGATGTTCATTGGCAAAGTTGATGCAAAACTGCTCAAAACTGTAGGGAGAGTTTTCACTGAAAATATGTTTCAAAGCCCCCCCCCTTAAGAAATAAAAAGCTACATAAATAAATATAAATATTAAATGCCAAGGGTCCATCAAAAAAGTAATGATATCAATTATACATAGTAACAACTCAGACTGCATGGATTAAACCATAATAAATAAATATACATTGTGTATTTCACAATTGCCCCATTTGTAAGCTTGACTCTTGGACAACAGAAGATATCAATGAGTACTTATAGTGCTTTGATGGCCAATAATTCAGACTTCCACAATCTGATATAATACAGATGCTTGGGCTATCAATTCTGGCTGGCTGCCATTGGTTAACAGGATCTAGACCGAAAGGCTTTGGAATGGAAGATAGGTGATGGCTCTAGATCAATGCTTCTCAAACTTAGTGATTTTAAGATATGTGGACTTCAAGTCTCAGAATTCTCCGGTCAGCCATGCTGCTAAGTATGAGAAAAATTGCGCTAGAAGGCAGCAGAAAGAAAAAAATATTCAGTATTTATTTGCAATCTAGTGGTTGTTACAGAGATTTGTAGACCAGATCAGGAAACCTTTCGGTCTTCAGAATACAGATATCCTCCACTTATGACCACAATTGTCCAACAGAAATGAACAGGGTGTACAAAAAGTCAGAACCCACAGGCAAATGGCAATATGCTTTATTAATTTTTTTCACAGAAAATGTTACTGTATTTAGCAATGTTGTAAAGCCATGTGTCAGACAAGTAAGGAAGCGTTTAGAAGAAAATGGCACCAATTTCAATATGAACTGAGATTTATATAATTAATTACCTACAGGTCCTGATTGTTTATTGAAAAATAACTAATATCAGAATCTGGTTATGACTTACAGCATATTAAGATTAATATTGGATTAAGTTCAGAGCTGGTATTTAGCCGGTTCTCTCAGGTTCAGGTGAACCGATAGCAGCGGCTGCGGGATTTTGCCCAACTTCTGTCCAGACCCTTCTCACCTGTTGGAAAAGAAGTGGCACACTCTGGACGTGAGGAGGGCTCTGAGGATTAACCTCAGGAGAACCAGGCCAAACAGGAAATCCAAAGCTCTG